CCTGCAGGCCAGAGGCAGGGGATGATATGAGTACAGTGCTGAAGAGAAAACCAAAGCGAACTGCCCACCAAAAATTCTACATCCAGAAAAAAATCATCCTTCAAAAATGAAGGTGAAGTAAATACTTTACCTGATAAGCAATGGCGGAGAATCACTGCTCGTAGCCTTTCCCTACAAGCAGCACTAAGGGAATTCCTTTGGACTGAGAGAAAATGACATAAGGCGGGAGCTCAAATCCACAGGAAGAAATGAAAAAGTGCTGAAAATGGTAAATACAGAAAGTAATGTTTTTAAAATCTATAAATATATTTATCTCATTTCTTACCCAACTTCTTCAAAAGATAAAGTTGCATGAGCCAGTAAACAATAATTTATTGAGTTTATAATATACATAAGTATAATATGCATTGCAATAATAATACAAAGGCGGAAGAGAGAATGGACCTATTTTGGAGCAGAGATTTTTATTTTATCAGTTAATATTAGGCTGAAATAGACTGTGGTACGTCAAGGTGAATACTGTAAGATCAGCCACTAAGAAAATAATTTTCAAATGAGAAATAACAGACAAAATAGTACCCTAAAAATATTTAACAAAAGCGGAGGAGCCAGTAAGGAGGAAAAGAGAAACAAGGGCGCCATACAAACAGGAACAAAGCGGGAGGCCGGTCTGCGCTGGGCTGTCTGGCCCTAGCCGAGCTTGAGACGCTTCTCCTTTCCAACCCTCCTAATAGCCCCGGGCGTGGCGCTCTTTCCGTCGCAGACCCCAGGAGCCGAGGAAAACCAGGATTAAAGAACTTGACCGTGGATGACAGCAAGAAAACGGAAGAGATGCCTGGAGGCAAACCGGCGCAGGCGCTGTGAAAAGCCCCCTCCATCCGAGTAAGGCAGCCCCAGGGGGCCGGAGGGGGTCGCCTGTCCCGGGTGAGGGAGTGAGGCCCGAGCCCCAGCCGAGGCCGCGGGATAGAGGGCAGAGCGAGGGGCGCAGGGCCGGGTGAGCGCCGTTGCCGCTCCAGAAGCCACTGCGTTCCCTCCGGGCCCGGCGGGCAGAGCCCAGGGCGGGTGGCAGCGGGCCGCGCAGGGAGCCGTGGAGGCAGCAGGCCCCGCGGGCAGGGGCGCGCCCGTGGCTCCTGCCCCACCTCCCTGAGCGTGGGCGGCGGGGGAGTGAGTGGTGTCCGGTCGGGTCGCGCGTCCACCCAAGTCGCCGTCTGCCTCAGAGGAAGGGGGCCGAAGCGAGGCCCCCGTAATCCTCACATCCCCCCTACGAATTAGGCATTACTGCCGCCACGTGGTTGACGAAGTGGAAACCATCTAAAACCCACGCGCGGTGTCAGTGAGAAGCGAGGCGGGTGTGCCAGGCTCCGGTGGCCACTCGCTTCCTCGGGGCGTGAGCCCCGCATCCAGCTCATGCTCGGGGTCCACTGTGCTTTGCAGACGTACTTCACCGTCTTGGCCTTGGTAGCCGGTGGGAAAGCAATGGCAAGAAGTGGAGCTTACTGAAAAAAGCAAACCTGTTGTCTTTCATCTAATGTTTTATTTGAACATCAAATAGGTTGAGAAAATTGTTTACAGGTACTTGAGCATCCCACTGGATTCTTTACTTTTTAAAAGTGCAAAAGAGGTTTACAAGTGTGTTTCATTAAACAAAGCAAAGCTGCAACGAAACAGAATCACATCAATAATAGTGCGCTTCAGCAGGAGGGCGTACAATCCATCAGACACAACTCGGCAATTGAGCCTTTTCCCATAAAACAAGGCTCTGCACTGAAGAGTAGGTGGTGCACAAACAAAGCATGGTTTGCAAGTCATGAGAGAACATAAACTGGCGTAATGTCACGTATTAATTCAAGTCTCTGTAACCAATGACCTCTCTGAATGCAAAGGGGTCCGTGTCTCAGGCACCTGCTCATGGGGCTTTATGTTGTCTCCAGGGTACACAGCTCTGTGCAAATATACTCAAGATGGGTTTGGAACATGGCAGCATCTATATATTTTAAAAGTTCAGGCACATTTGGATGCAAAAAAAAAAAGAAGAAAAAAAAGATAAAGAATAGAAATTTTTCTTGAATATCTAAAAGACAGTGCAAAATCGAAGTGCCAAATAGAGGCAGCAGTTACTTAGAAAACAACTGAAAATGACTTAGAAAGAGGTCATCCTTGCTTTAATCCAAATGGGAAAGAAATGTAGTCAGAAACTGTGTCTTCACGCTAATGAGAAGATGGGTGTTTGGAACCACAGTTAAATGCATTTGCTGCAGCCGAGGATAAGTAAGTTTGCAGGGAGTTCACCTAAGGAAGTGCGCAGTGTGATGTGGGTCATCCTTCCGAGACCTGCTCAAAAGGGAACCGAGGCTGCCTCCTAAGCTAGAGTGTGACTCTATTTGCCTTTAATAACCAGTTTCCCAAAGCAGATTTGCCTTGAATGTTAGACATGATGACCCTAGTGGTCATTCGAGGATGCACAGTCCATCTCAGAACTGGTATACGATTTGAAATAAGAACAGATTGGAATGGGCTCCATGTAGGGCTACCCTAAACCAACGGCCTGCATCAATGGCCATTTCAGTGTATATGAATTTAACAGGTGAGAACACCTGAGTGTGACTGAAAGTAAATGATCAGCAAGTCCCTTAGTTGGTCAGCCCCTGAAAGGCATGGGATACTGACATGGTTAAACATACTTAGAAAGTTAATAGGGAAATCTATTCAGGGTCTGCACTTCCTTAGGGATTTTGCAACCTACACGGGGTCTTCTCTTTGGATGAACTAGTCTCTCTGATGGCTGTGTGACAGCATTACAGAATCAGGACAGCAAGCCTAGAGCTCGGCAGTGGCCAAAAGAAACACAGACCCCTGGCTGTTCCTTGGACTGCACTGTAGATGTCCCTTGCTCTTCCCTGGAACTCAAGCTGTCACTTTAGAAATGGCTATCAGATAGAGCTGGTTATTTGTGGCTTATAGGGCAGAAGTCTGAGCCCTAATGCATACCCCAGATACCAGTATTGATTGGCCTCACAATACCTTCCAGATCTTTTTACTGTATTTTCCATTTTCCAAATTCCTGAACCCACTTCCCCAGAGAACCCCTGCCCCAGGCCAATCATGTATTTTAAATTCTAAATTGCCTCGTAGTGAGGGGGAAACATAGCATGTTTCCTACACCCCAACAGCAACATTTGCTGCAAAGTGTCAGCTGTCCATTAGTGGCACTTCAAATAAGAATAAAAAGAGATTTCTAGCATTATTTGAGACTCCTGGGCTAACGTTCCAGCCATCTGGTATCCTCCCCCCATTTCAAATATAGTAGTATCTTAGCATGAATACAAACACATTAGATGAGTAATGTAAAACCCTCCACTGTAGTATTGTTTGGATTTAGCTGGTATTGTATCATCTATAGTCCTAATTTTTTTTGTTTGTTTTTATTTTTTTAAAAGAAAATCTAAGTATAAACATTAAAAAGAACCCACTGACCCATTAGCTACTGTCCAAAAATATTACTACTAATAGTTTGGTAAAGCAAAATTAGCTGCCCTGAATAAATTTTCCTTTTCAGGCATAATCTCTGCTGCATAAGATTGTCTATCATTCGATATCCAACAATAGGCATCTGGATTAGTGCTATTTTGTCTACTGTGGATATAAAAGTTGATATGAAATGTGATCTTCATTTAAATGAATAATCACCAGGCCTTAGGTATCAATGACTACATACAAAAAAACTGAATATTTTTGTTGGTTTTGCAGGTTAACCCAGTCAGATCAAATCCAGAACAGAATTACTACATTCAATTGTCTGATAAACAAGTATTGCAATTTCAAAAATATATATATTATACTATATAAGGTGCTTATTAAACAAAACAACAACAAAAGAATTATGTTCTAAACATATTCTTAATGACAATACATAAAATTGCCCCAAAATTTAGATGCACATATATGGAAAAACCTTTTTTTTTTCCTTTGTTTTAGGCCCTCCCTGTTTCCCAGTCCTTTGGTGACCACTGACTGGGAATTAGAAATGAGTGAAATCCACTTTGTGAAATAGGCATCCCCACAGAAACCCTAGGAGTTTGGCTGAGTTATTGGCTAACACATCACCTCTCAATGGGGTTCAAATTGTAGACAGTGAGGTCACCGGAAAAACCAGACTTTCTTTTTAGCTGAGAAGAGGGAACCCACAATTGGTCTTGGAGAAGGCTGCCCTTGGCTGGAGGGAGACTTTCGTTTTTAGTCTATAGGTCAGTAGAGTCCTATGGCTCAAATCTAGTCTCACTCTCCTGGCTTATGGAGTTTAATGAAATGAGCTCTGAAAAAAGTTTTGTGGGTTTTCCCCCCCAAGGCCAAACCCTTATTTTTGGGTGATCTCTAAATAACCAAGGGCACGTGTAGTCTGAGCAGGCCCCAGGCACCCGAGCAGGGAGTGCTCCTCTCCTCGGCCCGCGCCCTGGCTTCAGAGTGTGCTCCGCCAACTGTAGGGACACAGCTGTCCACTGCTGCTGCTTCCACTCAGGGCCACGTGGGGAAGAGAAGAGGACAGCCCCATGGGTCCCAGGGCAGCCCCCCAGTGCACAGTGGCACTCCTGGGGAGCTGCGGCCTGTGGCAGCGCCGCCCTGAGCCTCACGGTTTTATCCAGTGTCTACCCTGCTTTCCTCCCTGTTCTTATGCACATGTACTGTTTTAGCCCAGTACCCCAGGGCTTAAAGTGTCCCCAGGGTGCCCCCTCATTTAAAGCGCTTTTGGTCATAGGCTGGGCACTGCACACGCCCGATTCTCCTTGGGTTTAAGCTGCACACCAGGAAGCGCCAAGGAGCGCCCTCTGCTGCGCGAGACCACGCAGTCCTGAAGGCTGCTGACAGCCAGCCCTGGGGAGGGCTCTCTTTATAAACCAAAACCAAAAATAACAAGAATCTATCCCTCACAGGGACACTGGTGTATGTGGAGGTGACCTAACTGGGATCAACTTGCTGCTCTCCACAGATCCATGGGAAGCAAGAACTAACCTAACCGGAGCCCAGGACCTGTGCAGGGTGCGCTCAGCCTACAGAAGAGCATTCGGCAAATCTGAAGGCGCAGTGTTCTCAGCTGGTAACCGGGGGCATCTTGTATTCCTATAGGGGAAATAAATAGACAATCGCCGAATATTCAGCTATGGCCAAGCAACAGAGCAAAAGCTTGAAGGGGTTACTTTAATAAAATGACACGTTTCTATAGGAATACAAGAGGACGCTCTGGTAAACCCTCGAGCTAGCTGTCTCCGAGTCAGCAGTTAAAGGAGCCACTTCCAATTCTTTCCCGTGGCTTAGATTCATTAAAAAGTGCTTTGCAGAGGTGAAAAGTCCACTCTCCAGTCCTGGCTCTCGACAAGTAGCTTAAATGCACAGACTCAGCTGAGCCCCAGCACACAGACCGAGTTCAGTCATGAAAAGCTACAGGAATCCCCATGCTTAGTGATGTAGCAGAGGGAGGAAGAGAGCCCTTACAAAGAAGGTAGCCCTGGAACCCCTCTGGCCGTTCCCAAAAGAAGGCGTGCCACTAAGAGCTGAGCAAGCAGACGAACGGCCACTCAGAGTATAAAGCATGTGGTGGTTGCAAGCCGGAGTGTGTTCAGGAGCAGAATTTTGTTATGGTGGTTTATGAGGTGGGTAGAATGCTGCGGGGATTCTCAGAAACTTGGGGGAGCCAGGGAGCTCTCAGACTGTGTTGGGGAAACCCTCTGCCTCCCCACCGATGTAATACGTCTGCAAGGAATGCGGTAAAGTTGGGCCGGTGGCGGCCATCTGGTCCTGGTGCGGCTCCTCCATGGGGGTGCCCCCGCGGTTGGCCGGGGCGTGTAGGCGGTGGGCATCCAGCATCTCCAGCAGCAGATCATAGAAGGGCACCACGTTCTTGCACTTCATGTTGTACAGGTGCTCCATGCCTTTGTTACTGGGGGAAGACACAGAGAGGGCCGCTTTAGAACAGCGCAAACCCCGGCCCTCGAAACTCCCAGGCAGCGCGAGCAGAAGCTCCAAAGACACGCGCCGACCTGCCTTCCTGTTCAAAGAGCCGTCTTAGGATGTGCTGTGGAGGTGGCCTCTGCCCGACTCGAGTGGGATCCTAATCCCTTCTAGTAGCATCACATCTCAACAGAGCACGTGAGAGAACAGCCCAAGCAGAGCGAGATTTTTAAATGTGGAAAACAGCTCAAGAAGTTCCCTTGCTTAGAACTTTCAGATGGCTTCCCATTTAACTCAGAATAAAATCTAAGTTTCTTTCCAGGCTCTACAGGGTCCAGCTAATGTGGCTTCCCCCTACCTGTCAGTGCTCCTCCCCTCTCTCTCCCCAAACGCGCACTGTTCAGCCAACTGGTTCTCGTGCTGTCCCTTAAAGACACTAAGTGCTGTCTACTTCCAGAATCAAGGTATCTGCACCTGCTGTTTCTGCTGCCTGGACTGCACCTCCTTCAGAACTTCAAATGCCACCCCCTCTGAAAGGCTTTCTGCCACCCCGAAGGCAAAGGCCTCAAGTCCCTGGGGCTCCAACCCTCCCCTTTGATGTTACCCTACTTTCCTACCCGAAAGTCTTCTTTTCATGTATGTCTGTATTTATATTGATTCTTGATCACCCAAGCACACAGACACACACAGCATACATGCTGCAAGTTCCACGAGGGCAGCAGTGGCTCATCCTGTAGGCTGGCCGTGCTGAGGAGGTGGGAAATGCCCAGAAAAGAGGGAGTAAATGGACGTAGGGAGATGTAGGCACAAAGCATTTCTCCTTTTACCATGCTCCTCCTCTGTCTACCAGCCCCAACTCTGCTCTGTCCCCACCACACTACCAGGAAAAAATAGGACAGCTACTACCTATCTTGAAATTTTAAAAACTATCATGAGTAGACAAGACCGAGAGAATGTCCGAGAATATACTTGCATTTTCAGTAGGGGAAAGGTCAGCACAAGTTGGAGACTCGCCATGGAAACAGCATACAAGCTATTCAGGCCTTACAACTCAACACCCTAAAAAATGGGTTGAAGTGGCATTTGCTTGCCTTTTTTGTTTGTTTTCATTTAAAATGCCTTTAAAGTGAAATGCTCCTCAGCTCTGACACTGTCTTGCTCATGCAACCTAATGAATCACATTTACAATCAGATGAAATCTGGTGTCACAGTCTGAATAACAATATATGGCTGGGCTCAAGCTGAACAAAACAGAGTTCTGTGATTTAGATAGATTGTAATGAGGCACCAAAATGTGTGTGTGTGTGCGCGTGTGCATGTGTACCAGCGAGAGAGAATGCTCACAGCTTTCAACCGAATAGCAACTTCTCCCCAGCGGTCCACACAATTCAAACAAGCTCTGGAGAGCTCTCTCGCTGCTGCTCCCTCAGCCACACATTTCCAGTGAAACCAGCAAGGCCTGTACATTTAGTGCAGATATGTCTGTATTAATTAATTAAGCTTGCTAATGCTGAAAGGCAGTGAATAGATTTGAAAATTCGGCAATTTCTACTAACATAAAAATCCTCATCTACAATATATGGTTTCTACAACGTCTTTGAAATCCCTAGCTCAGAGTATAACCCAATACATTTCTTCAAGGAGACAGTTATGGTCTCAGCCAGGAAATCTGGCAGAGGGTCATGTGACTCTGGTACATTGCCTACTCCCCTCTTGGTAATATTCACCCAAAGAGACAGCTGGGAAAGGTATGGAAGTGTGTACTCCAAATGCAGTCGCCCACTCTACCTGGCGAACGCAGTCACCTGGCCGAACGCAGTCGCCCACTCTACCTGGCGAACACAGTCACCTGGCCGAACGCAGTCGCCCACTCTACCTGGCGAACGCAGTCACCTGGCCGAACGCAGTCGCCCACTCTACCTGGCGAACACAGTCGCCCACTCTACCTGGCCGAACGCAGTCACCCACTCTACCTGGTGAACACAGTCGCCCACTCTACCTGGCCGAACGCAGTCACCTACTCTACCTGGCCAAGGTGAGTCCCTCATCTGTGACACAGGGATTCGGCGGAAGTCCCTGAAAACAGGGGCTACAATCGCTTTCTCCCAAACTTTGCCCAGGGGAAGCTATTATTTGGGAATTTCAAATTCATAGGGTAGGGGAAATACTCAAGTAATTTGTTCATTCACTTGTTCACTTAGTAATAATGCTGTGAGCATATATGACGTATAAGACTTCATATAGGGCACTGTGAGGGATACAAAAAAAGAAAGATACATTTATGTTCTCAAGAAGCTAACAATTTGCAAAGTTGTCTCCCAAAAGCGAGGCACCCGGGACTTTACTGAACAAACTTCTTGTCATTTGACCCACAGTCTCAAGGTTCGAAAGCCCTTTAAAATTTAATCTGACCCTTTCAGGCCCTTCCCTCACAGCCCCTAAGGAAAGGAATCTCTTTCTTATTCCTAAGGTCCTGCCCAAGGCCATACATGGGTCCCTGTCCCCTTACTGTCATCACTTCATCTCATTTCTGCAGAGTGAAAACTCCACCACTTTCTTCATCTCTTCCCTGCAGGCCGAGTTTTTTCATGAGAACAGCATCCAATAAGCCTCTGACCAGCCAACTTACATGTCTATTTAGAATGAAAATGAGGCCACTTGCACCTTTTGTACCAGAGAGGTTCTATTTCCTCTGGTAAGGTCCTTTCTTAGCTCCAACAGAAAGTATTTATTGAGTAGTTACAGTGGGCCATGCCCTATGCTAGATGGTGCAGGGTACCCAGGGGACACAAGATGCACTGTGATAGCTGCCTCACAGGATTACAGTCTGATGGGGAAGAAAGAGAATGCAATGGCCAGTGACAACCAGGAAGAACAGATATAAGTCCCAGCGAAGTCGTAAGGGTCAGGAGATGCTTCTTGCAAGGAGCCATATCTAAGATATGACAGGTTAGCTTACTGTTCAGAAATATGCACTCCCTGTGCCATGTGTCCATGATCTTGACTTTGGGTTTCACCATGTGACTTGTTTGACCAATAGAGTGTCAGTAGGCATGACTTAATAAAAATATTAAAATGCACTTGTCCCACTTGGCTTGCTTTCTTACGCCTCTGCCACTGCTATGAAAACAGCATGTCCCCATCGACCTGTGACCTGTGGGTACAGGAGGGTAAGGAACAGAGGCAGCTGGCCAGCCTGCAGGCCTGCAGCTCGAAGCCGCCTCCCCGCTGGGCCCAGCCTCAGTCGGGCGACTCACAGAGGTGAGAGGGAGCCCAGTGGAGGTCAGCAGAGCTGCCCAGCCAACCTGCAGCCTGAAATAGACTCCCCCATGACTCAAGAACATAAACAGTTGTTTATGGCGAGAGCTCGGACTATGCAGGAAGCCCTACAAAGTTAAGGAGGGGCTAGAGCATAAAAAAGCAACGTAACAAAACAGAGATTTCTGCTTTTATCTAAAAGCAACAGGAAGCCATTTCAAGGTTTTAAGTAAGGAAACAACGTGGCCAGATTTGCTCTTAGGATGGTCACTCTCCATCCTGGGGACTGGATTTGAAAGGACCAAGACTGGAGGCAGGGAGAAGCGTTCGGTGGCTGGTGCAGAAACCCAGAAGGAAGTGACGGCGGCTTGGACTAAGGTAGCAGCAGCGGGGCTGACAAGAAGAGATCTGAAAGGGATGAAGGCGTCAACACTGGCCTCCACGAGGCTTCCGGGCAGTCTCCCGCTTGGGATTTCTAAGCGCAGTCAGGAGATGACCCAGGAACTGCACTGGACATGCGCAGTGCCTTCAGGGGATGGGACCCTCACCGACTGCCCCTGATTAGGCGGACACAGTGCAAGGCCAGCCTGCTCCCTCCTGACGTGCACACCGCACTCTCCCCCGTCAGGCCTCGCACACACCTCAAACTGAGCGTAAGCATCGCTCTCTCGGACACGAGCTGACGCCCGCACAGGCCTGAAGCCGCCCTGTCCAGCCTCCCAAGCACATGCCCAGTACATGCCAGGAACCGTCCACGTGCGCTCTCCGAGTCCAGCACCAGCCCTTCCTGAGCCGCCCTAAAGCCTAACGCCGTGCGGGGCTCGCTCTTTAGGCCTGTCCCGCGGGGAACCAGGACGCCTCACCTCATGTGCCTGATGTGGGAGAGGATGAGGAGGAGCTGGGCCAGGCGCCGGTGCTGCTGCTGCAGGGTCAGGCCTGCCTTGGCCATCAGATGGATCAGGGTGTCAGTGATCTTGTCCAGGACACGGTGGATATGGTCCTTCTCTTCCAGAGACTTCAGAGTGCTTGACAGAAAGGTGTAAACTCCTGAATGTGCAGAGAGAGAGAAACGCAGAGCCGATGAAATCTAGGAGCCAGATGGTGTGTGTGGAACATAGCGCTGAGCCAGCACCTTTCCCTCGCCCAGCAAGAGGGGCCTTCGGGGCCCATTTGACCCAAGAGCTATAAAACCCCTATGCGCACGCCTGTTTCCAGGGCTCCTCATCAAGGGTCCCGGGAAAGGCACCGTCAGCCTTGGGGCCCTAATGGTTCCATAGCCACCCTTCTCTAACTGGTTTGACCCCACACAAACTATTCTGTTAATGCTGAGGACAACCTGTGAGAGGGGCATCATCACTCCTTTTCAAATGAAGAAACCGAGCGCAGAGAGATGCATTAACCAAATAACTCAATAGGAGAGAGCAGAGCTGAGAATGGAGCCCAGCAAGCTGACTCCACGTCTGCTCGTTATAATGGAGACGCTCAGGAGACATGTGACCTCTCGATTTGCTAAGGGATTGACAGGTGATTTTTCCAGGTAGCACTTAACTCGCTGTTACATTGCAGGTCAGGTTTACGGCCCCAGTGCTTTCCATCCTCAGCTGATTTATGATGGGCGGTGTAAAGGATGTTGGCAGCTGTTTTTCGCTGCCAGGCAGGTTTTCTCCCTCTTGCCTTTCGTCTGGCACTAGACCCTACTCCCTGGACCACACAGAGACTCAACCTATAGCCCACTCTAGTCTTCTGGACTAACAGCCCCGTCTCACAACGTAAACATACAATTCCAGATCTTTTTCTTTCCACTAGGATTGCTGAACTGAGAGGATGAGCATGTGGGACTTTGATGTAGTGGCAACTTCCTATAGCACATAGAGCTCCCATCTGCAGAACAGAGCATTCCAGCAACAAGCAGATAGTTGGGGGGGACGGGGAGGCGGGGATCCTGGTTCCAGTTACACGGTGCTGCTTCTTCCTACCTTTTTTATTTGACCTTGGAGCTTTCATAGTATCCTTCTAACACATGAATCCATAAATTCCCTTTTTGCTTAAGATAGTGTGAGTTGGGTTTCAGTCGCTTGCAACGGAAAGAATTTGACTATTCAACTAAATTGTAAGCTCGGCCCAAGGATCAGAAGAAGGAGACTGGCAAAGAGGTGGGAAGAACGAGAGCAGGAGGAGGTCAGGATGGATCAGTCTTGTCTTGGGACCACAGGACGGATTTTCTATCAAGTAAATACGCCAGAAGATGCTCCATTCTGCCCAATGATCCCATCTTGCAGGAAACAGATGAGGTGATGTTTTCTCCCAATGATACGTGCTTAGCAATGTTTTCTCAGTCTTATTTCTATTCAGCCCACTGGCCCTCTCATAAATAGATTTCTTCTTCCCCGCCCCCCCTTGGTACCTTCAAGTTAAGGCTCCCAAGTTCATCATCCCTGACGTCGTAGTGCTAATGTGGGAATGAGTTATGGCTCACACAGCAGCCTGTAGGTTGGGAGCGGGGAAAACATTTACAAGAGGAACTCATAGTAAACAGAGTTGTAATTGCCCAGAATGGAAAATGGCTGAGGGTTAAACAAATACAGCAATGACAAAACCAGAATGGTCAGGATCTTGGCTTACATGCCGTTGAATAGAATAATGTAGCTCTTGGTACCCAGAGGGACTTTGATCCAAAGTAAAGAGAGCACAGAATAAATAAGCAGCAGACATGCAGCAGGATAGAAAGGAAACTGCTGGATTGCTTCACTTATGTTCCTTGTGGACAGTTGATAGAGAAAGAATGTGTCCATTAAAAAACTAGGCAGATGTCCAGTGGCCTTGGGATTGGCCCAGATGTAACGATGGCAGGGAAAGTGTGCACCACTGGTTTGGGGGTCCGGGGTGGCCTCTGCTGAGTCCCCATGACCCTGCCTCTCACCACACTCTATGTCATTACACACATTCTAGCCTCATGTCTTCCAAAGGCCCTATGTCTGGCTGATATCCTGGGACCCTGCCCAGGCCACAGAGCTGAGTTAATCCAACTTGAATGATGCATTTTCTATCAATTTCCTTTTTTTGTTAACCCAGGATGCTGGCTTCATTCACCAATAATCCCATTCTTGTTCAAGGAGCAAATGGCTTTGATGTCCCTGCCTGGGAAGGTGACTTGGGAAGGTACAGCACTTGGCTTTCCCACTCATGCGCACAGGGTTAGAGCAGAATGTGCTAGAATCTCAGACGTCCAGAGGGCCAGCATTGCACTGTGCCCTTTGCAAGGGAGTCAGTGCCTTGGCATCAGACTCCAGGGGGTGAAGCTTCCTTTTGGGCTGTTGATCCCCCCTTCCTCAATGTGAGTGCATGAGCACATCGATGCCTTCAGCACGCTATCCTGGAGGACCCACTGTGTGCGTGCACTGTGTTATACGATAAAGGTTCCAAGCCTCATTTTCTTCTGAGTGTTAATGTCTTAAGAGTAGATATTGCCTGTGGAGAAAGAATTTTCTTAACAACGACTCTTGGGACTCAAGCCATTCTCAGAAGGAGCCTGTTTTTCTAGTACAGTTTTGGCACCAATACAGCTTATTATCTCAGCCTCATCAGCAGATGCTCCCTAGCTGTGCAAATATACTTAGAAATAGAAATACGGCCCTATCAAAATGCCAATAATTAACAACTGCAGCCATCATCCTTTTGGACTGTTGTGGCCAAATGTGGTCCACGGTTGCCCCTGAAAGAAAGAACAGAAACCCAAATTCCCAAAATGCTTCAGGCACTCTGGCAAGAGCAGAAAAGGAGCTGCTGGTCAATTCCACAACCCAGGTGGTCTCTGCCACCCTGGACGGCTGAGCCAATGTTCCCAGAAGCACAGAGCCAGGAGCAGACACGGAGGACCTTCAGGAACATTCTTGCAACAGGCAAGCTTTCGCAACTCTCAAGATTGCTCCAAATCCCAAAGATGGAAAAAAACAAGCTGCATATCATTATCCAGTCTTCAAGTGCTGTTGGCAGATCTGAGCTTCTACTTCTTGTGAACCTCACAGCGGACATTGGGAGCTGTAGGAAGGGTCCGTGGAGGAGTCTGGTGGCGAGGAATGGGGCAGCAAGATCGCAGGGACACCCCATGCGTGAGATCTCAATTCCACTTCTCTCACTCTCTTGGCCTCACTGACACCTCTCATTCTGCTTGGACACTCTCCTTCCTTTTTGCTCTCCACTCTACAGGAAGCCCCTCTCCACCCCTTATCAGTCTCCCAGGTAGTAGACTCTTCCAGAAGTGGGAGGAATGCGGGCCTGGACACTGCGGTGCACAGATGCACCTGGCGTGCCTGGAAGGAAGCGGCAGCACAACCAAGGGCGTCCAGCAGGCCCCGCCACTGACCTCCCCTGGGAGGGACAGCTAACTGCTCCTAGAGAGGTGGGGACTGCAGGCCCATGGCTTACCAGATGCTCGAGGGCACATTCTTCAAGCAAGGCCGCAGTGTTTCTTTACAGAAGGAGGAATGCGACTGTGGACCCAGGGGGAGTCCTTCAGGCTATGGCAGCTTGCCCAAAACGAAAGGAAATGGCTCCAAGGAAAAAGTGGTGATGAAAGCTCAAGTCCATAGCTGTGATCAGCCTGGACCAGAAAGCTGTCACTCAGCTGGTTCACCCAGTGACTCATGGGCAGGTCAGCCTTGCAGATTTCCTGGGAATGGCTTCCACAACCAAACAGTGTGTTTTTTGCTCAGAAGCACGATCAAGGTTGACAGTTCAATGAGCAGCACATTTGCTTTGTGGTTCTCCTGTGACTGCTGTTCTTGGGGCCGGTACTGGCCCTGTGGGGTGTCGAACAGCTCATGGTCACCACAGCCACTTAGTGGGAGAGGCGGTACTGGGTGTCCTACAATGTGCGGGACAGTCCCAAACAGTGAAATGAAAGATTTTTTATTGAATGTCCTATTGCACCCACCCTATGACCAACAAACATTTGTAATGAAAAGTTTTGAAAAGCTTTTACAAGGCTGTACACAAAAGGCCCAGCATGCAAGTTGGCTATAGAGAGGGAAGCTTAAATGGAATGCATTTTTTCAAAATTCAGTAATTTATTAACTTCTGCAGGCTGCCAATTGAATGTATTACATAAGCGTCCCCACTATGCACTCAGTTGAAATCACTTCAGTGCAGTTGTGCTAGAAAAGCAACATGCCTGGTTGCAAATACAGAGAGAGATGCAGGCTCTTCTAAACAAAATTAGAATCAACCACTATCCAACTGCAGACATCAATGAAATACTGTGTTCTGGCCTCCTACGTGGTTTTAAATAATTTTATATCATGCTAAGAAATCCACTTTGTGAAAACTGCACATTAAAATTGTTTGAGGGCTCTTGTCCATCTGCTTTATACTGACACTGTCTCCAGAAGTTTCCAGCACACTCCTTGATCACTCTTATGTCTATAATTGGTTGTTTTTTCCCAATCCATCATCTCTTCTCCATTGTTTATCTAAAGGATATGACTTTTATAAGTTCCAGAGAATGAATATTTGCCTTGAATACCATAGGCTATCTTTTTCCAAGATTTGTGATTCTCAAATCTGGTTCTCTCTCAGAACCTCCCGTGGAGTTCCATCCAAACCTGCTGACTGGCAGTTAAGAGTGGAGCTCTGTTATCTGTGTTTTCAGAAAATTCCCCATTGAGGATTCTGAGGCACAGCGGGGATCATGAATCACATGACCAACATGGTCCTTTACATCGTGGCCACTAAAATGTAAAATCTTGAAAACACAGACTGTGTCGTCTGTGAAAAGTGCCCTGCCGTGATGCAAAAAGACTCTGAGGATGTCTTCTCCATGCATTTCTTCATCCGTGTGGTCCTCTATGCTCTCCCCCCTTCCTGCTGACTGGCTAGAATGGAAGACCATGGGAGCCACCCAATTCAGAATCAGAGCCCTCATCACCCTGAGTCCCGAATGTCACATGGAAGAGGTTCTGACACTAACCTGTTCACGCACCCAGCACTGTTAAGTAAACAAGAAATAAACCTCTGTGTCTGAGCCTTTATACATTTTGGAACTTATTTGT